CGGGGGGCAGGGGGAAGGGGACGGTGACAGGATTCAGAAAACACAAACAACAGCTAACAGCTGAGGTCAGGTGGTGGACCAAGCCTGACAGACAACTCCCTGCCTCCAAGCCACCAGCAACAGTAGGGGCCTTTATTTATGCCTTTGTAAAGTTACAAGACAAGGTTGCCTAGCGACTAATAGCCCACAAAGTCCAGGCAGGATGTTTTTCTCAAGACTGAGGCAGCTTGACTGTTTCAGGTATGAGGCCTCATCTTGCCCTACACATATGATCAATTGCCAGCTTCGGGGGCTCCCGATACCCTACGGCCCTCTAGCTTCACATCTTTGGGGTATCAACATATACTGTGCTGTGTCTAACTCCCTCCCTATTCCTGGTGTCCGGTAATAGCCTCCCTTCTGCTTTTTTACTATTCTTTTTAGATGCCACAGTTTAGGGAGAATACCCAGTATGTATCTTCCTGAGTCGGGCTTGTTTCACTCCACAAGATGGAGTCCAGAACCTTCCATTGCAAAGGGCAGAATTTCTTTCTTCCTTATGACTGAGTAATACGCCATCCTGTGTATCTGCCACAGTTTCTGCCTCCGTTTCTCTGCTGATGGGCACCAGGGCTGGTTCCCCTAGCTACTAGGAACTATGTGGCAATGAATGTGGTCTGTAGGCGCGGCAGGACATAGGACGCTGCCACACTGCGTTTCTGTATTTCAGTTGGGCAAGACCAAGGTCTCACCAGAGTCCGGCTCTGCCTCTTGGTCCAGCAGCGAAGTATGCTGAAGTGAGTGGCCTCGGCTCCCGGAGCCAAGTGCCTGGTCCTTGCCTGAGCAGTCACAATGGCACCTGCTTCATGGCGTTGTGGGAATGAGACTGACTGAAATGCTTTGCCTGTGTGGCAAGCCCTCAGGAAAGGGCAGCTCTTAGCATCATCGTTCATTAGTTGCCCTGACTTTATTTTAGTACTTGGGAAATCTCTCTCGTAGTTCCTGGCCAGCTCCGTAGTGGGGGCTTCCCTTGAAGAAGTTGCAGAGGAAGAGGAAGACGAGGATGAAAATAAGCCTCCTGCCCCAGAAGCCACAGCAGCCAAGCAGAAGGAAGGCACGTTCCAGATCGTGGGCACGCTTTCCAAGCCCAAAAGCATCCAGCCAGACTTTGCCACAGAAACGTACAAGGTGAGACCGGGTGGCCCTGCTAGGAGCAGGCAGTGCCGTCACAGGGTGTTGTCTGTCCCTCTTATGAAGTTACTCCCTCCGCTCCAGACACGAAGCAAAGGCAGGGCTGGGGACATACTGTTCTCCTGTAATGAAGATTGATCACATTAAACTGTTGAAGCCAGGCATGATGGCGTATGCCTGAAATCCCAGCACTTGGCAGGCCCAGGCAGGCCCCAGGGTCACCCAGTGTTAGAGGCCAGCTTCGGGGACATAGTGAGTTTAAGGCCAGCTTGGACTCCGTGGTGAAACCCTGTCTCAAAAAATAAAAACAGAACATAGGAAAAAGAACTGCTGCAGCAAAGAATTAAAATTAGATGTTGTTGAAAAAGATGGATGGTTCTAAGGGCCGGCCAAATACCTCAGCAGATTAAAGCACTTGCAAGCAGGCACAGAGGCCGGGGGTTCGATCCCCGGGCCTGCTGTGCTGGCCCTGACCCTGGGGCGCGCTGAGACACCAATGGAGACTGGGCGCGGTGGTGTTTGCGTGCGCACGCGTGTGTGCCTGTAATCCCAGCTCTTGGGCTGTGGTAAACTGGTCGATCACTACAAATCCAAACTAGTAATGAGACCCTGAACACCCTGTAGACCCTTAAAAAAAGAGATGGTTCTCAGGCCAGACAGATAGCTCAGTGGACTAAAGCGTCTGCTTAGGCAGAACACAGTGGCCGGGGTTTGATCCCTGGCATGCCATGCCACCCACTCCTGGGGCACACTGAGACAGCGATTGAGACTGGGCCACATGTCTGTAATCCCAGCACTTGGGAGGCTGAAAACAGGAGGATCCCTATGAGTCCAATCTGTGTAGTGAAACCCTGTAGACCCTGCATTAAATACATAAATGGTTCTAACTTTAATGTTCAGAATCATAAAATTGTTCTCTGTGCTCTGCTTAACTGTCTGCGTCACAACTGACGCACAATGGCCCCATCCGTGAAGGAGAAATGCCCTCGATAGCAGCCACTCAGGCGCCTCACATGGTGACTGCAGCCACTCAGGCGCCCCATGTGGTGACCCCATCTATAAGCCTAGGCAAGTTAGCAAGAGCATCTTAAATTTTTTTTAAAAAAGATAGTGAATAGAAATTATGCGAATAAAATAAAATAACATAAAAGCCTTGAAAAAAAAATAGTGAATAGGAAGGGCCAGCCAGATAGCATAGCGGATTAAAGTGCCTGCTTAGGCTGACACAGTGGCCGGGGGTTCAAGCCCCAGTGTGGCATGGTGCACCATGCCGGCCCTGGCCCCGAAGTGTGCTGAGATGGTAATTGAGACTGGGCATACGGCGCGCGCCTGTAATCCCAGCTCCTGGGAGGCTGAACACCAACAGATCACTACGAATCCGAACTATATAGTGAGACCTGTAGACCCTGTACTAAAATACAAAAAAAATAAAATAAAATAAAATAAATTATATATAGTGAATAGGGACAACCCCTAGTACCAAGAAAAAGAGAGAGAAAAAAAGCCACTCAAACAGCTTTCCATTGTGTTGCTGACTCCTTGAGAAAACAGCCTTCACGTGACAAATTCTACACAGCTGAAGCTTTTTTTTTGGAGACAGAGTTTCTCCATGTATGTTTTTCAGGCTGGGGTTGAACTCACTGTGCAGCACAGGACTGCCTCAAACTCACAGCCATCCTCCTGACTCAGCCTCACCAATCCTGTGAATATGTGTGTGTGCTACGCTGCCTGAAAACAAGGCCAGCCTGGGCTACGCAGTGCATTCAAGGCCAGCTTGAATTTAAATGTGAAATCCTAGTTTTATTTGTTTGCTTTTTGTTTGTTTATTTGTGGTACTGAGGATTGAACTCAGGACCCTATGCTTGCCAGGCAAGCACTTATTCTACTGAGCTATCTCCCCCGCCCTGAAATACTATTTCAGAAATAAATATATTAGCTAAAAATAAATTTTGTCCTCTGAAAATAGAACAAGTTGAAATTCTAGACTATAATACCTCAGAATGCAACTTTATTTGGAATTAGGGTCTTTATAAGGAAACCACAATAAAAGAGGTCATTAAGATGCACCTGTACGGGTCTGGGGTGATAGCTCAGTGGACAAAGCACCTGCCTGGCAAGCACGAAGACCCAGGTTGGATCTCCAGGTACTGCATGCCATACCAGCCCCAGAACCCCAGGTGCACCAAGCCAGCCTGAAACTGGACGTGGTGGCACACACCTGTAATCCCAGCACTGGAAGGCTGAGACAGGAGGATCACCATTAGTGCAAACCGCATAGTGAGACCCTGTATCAAAGTCTTTTGTTTAAAGATGTGCCTGTAGACCGCTAGAACTGGTGTCCTGTTAAGGGAGAAATTTGGACACAGCACACAGGGAGGAGGCCACTTACACATCAAGTCAGAGATCAGATGATCTAGTGCACAAATCAAGGAAGGCAACCACCAGAGACCACAGAGGGGTGAAACTGATTGTCCCTCAGAAGGAGCCAAATTTCTGGACACCTTAGTCTTGAACCTGTAGCCTCCAGAACCAAGACAGCAGATTTCTGTGCCTTACACTGCTCGGGTTCTTGCAATATGTTACACTCGCCCTAGCAAATTAATGCGGACAATACAGAAAGGCTTAAAGAGAGCAAGAGAAACTAGTGTTTGCTTTCTGGTCAAGTTGTGTGGTAAGAGCCCAAGCAAGTCTGAATATATATGTGTATATGTGTGTGTGTGTGTGTGTGTGTGTGTGTGTGAGAGAGAGATACAGGGTCCTGCTATGCAGTTAGGACTCATCGTGATCATCCTGTCTCAGCCTCCCCACCACTGGGATTACAGGCATGCGCCACCATGCCCAGTTTCAGGGCCAGCATGGCATGTGGTATTGGGGATCAAACTCAGGTGCTTGCACCTATTAGGCAAGTGCTCATGCTGCTGAGCTATGTCCCCAGCACCCCAGGTCTGATCTGAAAGGTACTGCTTCGGTGCAGGTGACCGAGAAACTCCAGGGGGGTCGGGGAGGACCTGCCCCGTAGCTCAGTTCTTTAAGTGGCTGCTTCAACAAAGCAGTCAGCCTCAGGTTGCTGTGGTTCGATCCCCACAACTCAAGCCAGCCAAACCTGCCCTGAAGGCATTCGGAGCCAGCCAGAAAAAAAAAAAATCTTTCTCACTGACCTTATCAGATCCAAAAGCTACAACTCTTG